TACCATTTGACCAGCTATTCCCTTGCTGACCATCTTCCCAAAAGAATTAAAAGGTTCATAACACAGTGATATATGTGCACTGATATTCAGAGCAGCATAGTTTGTAATACCTGAAATTTGGAAAAAGACCAATTGCCTGTCAACTGGGGACTGGATTATATATACACACACACACACATAAATATATATTGGTACTAGGGATGATCTCAGGACCTTGCACTTGTAAAGCTGGTGGCAGAATCACTGAGCTAAATTCCTGGCCCTAAGGCCATACTCTTAAATGAAATAAATAGGACACACTTGTAAATATCAAATAGTTCATCTGGTGTGAGAAAGTGAAAGTGTAAATAAGAAATAAAAGGTATAATAAATAATGTGAAATAGGAATAAAAGGGACAAAGGGGAAGGGGATGTGGGAGGAATGAGGAAAGGAAAGAAAGGAGTGGAATTAATATAAGAAAATGTAAAAATGGAAACAGTGTTTGTGTAAATAGTGAGGTGTGGAGAGGTTGAAGTAAGGGCTGGGGAATGGGGAAAAGAATAAGAACCAAGATAGATTATATAAAAGTACAAATTACAATGATAAATGTCATTATATTGTATATTTAAAATGTACCAAAATAATTTTTAAAAATGAAAGAAAATACACTAATTCTAATATGAACTATTCCACAACATTGGCAACCTCATTCAAGACTATGGCTTTTTGCTACAGAAGGTGTCTATCCTGGCTAAGTACAATATGAATTGTAATTTTTGGAGAGCTTCAGGAAAAATAGTAGCTTCAGATGACTCTCAATGATAAAGTAAATTTAAGCAGGACAATAAAAATGTGTGTAGAAGAGGTATGTAAGGGAGATGTGACTGAAGCAGGAAGGAAGGTCTGTAAAATGTTCAAAAGCTGAGAGATCTTAGAGACTTCTGTCACTTTTTGCATGTATTTCAATCTTGTCCTTTCTCAAAAAGTTGGCTAAGGCTTGTCCATATGCAAAATGTTAACTCCACCAAAATTTTCATATTTTAAATGTCTTTTAGCTTCACCAGCAGAGAGAAGCTAATTAGTCATCTGTGAGACTCAATTCATAGTCCTTGGAATAACTCTGGATTTCATATCCACCTTTGGTCCAACCACCTGGACAGAAGCTGGACAAAACTGCTAAAATGTGTTTCTGATACAGGAATTCTAATGAAGATCAGACTTGTCATCTGTAAAACTTATTCAAAATAACCATGGAAAACCTTGATTGAAAATATTTGGATAAAAAGAGAAAAATCTAACAAGAAAAAAATCACACTGGATCTTATTCATATTATTTTCATTAAACACCAGTGTGAATCTTCTACCATTTTAATAAATTTTTTCCTTTTTTAAATGTGTTTATTTTTCTATACCTCTTTTACTCTCCTGTCCAAATGTCCCTTTTCATTGATAGTAAGTAAAGCTATTAATTTTCTGGGAAAGTTTATACAAATTACAATCCATATTTTACTCGGTTGATCTTATATTATAGTATTGTTATTTTTAGTCTATAATTTCTGTATGTTTTGGCAGCAGAAATTATATATTACAAGTAATTTTACTACCTAAAATGCTCAAAAAGAGTGGATACCTCTTATAGAATTGTTTCACACTTAAATTTGGCAAATTTAATTCAAGAACTATGTATTAAACCTTATCACATATAAATACTTATCAAATCAATAAAATTCAGGGTCAAATGTATTAGAAGTGTTTTGCTCTTTATTCTCTCCATCTGTAGATATGTAAGTGTGGTAACATTAAAAAAAAAACTTAAAACTTACTTTTCCAAAATCAGTTTGATTAAAAGTTATGCTTAATTCAATTGAGGTCAAAATTTTCAAAGAAAAAAAAACCATCCTTGACACGAATAACAAATACTGCAGTTACACACCAAACAGTAGTTATTCTCTTCAGTGACTTACCTGGTGAAATAATTTTGATCCACCCTATTCTGTAAGAGTTACAGAAAAATACTACGGGTTGAGAAGAATTAATAGATACCACTTATACCAATTTTTAACCGGGATCAAATGTGTCAAATATCTGAAACTGAAAGTAAACCTTAACGAAGTTCTGATTTGTAGCGTTGTTGCGTCATTCTCCTTGCAAAATGTGAATGGAGCTGCCAGCAGCGGAGGCTCCTACGGTGAGTCGGGGAAGCGTATGGGGCATCCCCAGCCAGAAGACCAGGCTGCGCAAAAGGGCTGCTCCTCAGGAAGACAGCTCAGTGGTTGAGCTGGGGAGCAGGTGGCTGAGGTCGCCCCACTGCTTGGATCCCCACAGGCCTGGAGAGCTGTCTCCAGCAGCCGCTTCTTGCGGTGTCACCCCAGGAAAAATATGAAACATCAATGAGAATTATTATTATTATTTTGCACTTGCAGTTCTCCAAATGATCCAGATGGACAGAATGATGTCTTTTGGGACCAAAACTCTCCAATGACAAAACAGATGAAAGAAAAAAACATTACTGCACAGATAGTGATGTCATATCACATATTGTTAATCGTATTACTCCTGGGGATGACAAACCACCCACAAATTCTACACTGGGCATTTGGATTGGTGCAGCTGCTACTCCTTGTACTCCCAGCGTAGCAAAAAAAAAAAAAAAAAAAAATCAACAGTAACAATCAGCTGCACAAAGGTAAAAACACAAAAGCAAAAAAAAAAAGAACTCACTGAATTGGCTAAACAATTTGATAAAAAAAAACAAAAAACATGGAAGAGCTAGATGTGATTTGAGAACAAACCAAGAAGAATCATGATTTTATCCAGATAATTTCAGATACACTGACCATAGTTGTAAACATTGGGCAGAGATGAAGTCAACATGTACTATAGTTCACAAAATAGATAAGGTTACAATAACGAAGCCAATGGAAAGAAGCACCGCAAGATCTGTGGCAATTGATCAAACCAGCAGTCAGAAGCCATTTGAATAAAACGTTGAAGCATCCTTTCATGCAGATTTTTATGATTCTACTCAGACACTTAGTGGACAGCTAAGCCAAGATCTGTCAAATTTATTATTTATTTGTTTATTTATGGACTATACAATTACTACTTTGGGGGGAAAAAAGTGCTTTGACAAAGGAAAATATCATTACAAATGAAACGCTGGTCACTGAAAAACTGCCAAGTAAAACCCCAGTACCAGTTTCTCCCCAAGTAGATACTCCCAGAATGACAAAATCGAGCATATGTAAGGTCCAAAAGTAAGGCAGAAGAAGAGTCTGATAAGCACATGGATGCATTTACTACCAGTGATTTTGAGGAAGATTGGGAAAGTTTACTGGGAAATGAACCTTTTGTTATGCAAAATGCCGAAAGGGTTGAACTTTTCCAGTCCAATACTGCACAGGTTGACAGTACATCAAGAACAAGTATGTCTAGATACCAGATTAAGAGTTTCAAAAATATTATAAAATCTTCCTTCAAACACATATAATGGAGAACTAATAAATGGTAATAGAAAAATACAGATTTTCACCAAGTCCAAAGAGTAAACTGAGCAAATTACCACTAACTGGAAACAAAATGGAATTTGACAGTTCTTTCAATAAAATTATTGGGGCCGGGATTTAGCTCAGTAGCATTGTTGCCTGCCTTGCAAGCACAAGGTCCTGAGTTCAATTCCCAGTACTGCAAAAATAAATACATGAAATTATTGTTCAAGACAAAGCTCAGAGTTGTGCAGTTGTGTCTAACTTGACAAAAATAAAATATTCACATTAACTTTTCTTCTAATATAAACGTTTTTGATAAATAGTCTTCTTTGAATACAAAATACTGTACTGAACAAAAAAGTAAGACTGTTTTTAAACATTCTTTCAAAGCAACTGTTACTATTGATCTTTTGGGTTCTACAACTTTAGTCAATGAAGCCGGTGTTAGTAGCTCAAACCAAACTAATACATCAAAGTTAGATTTTTTTGATGATTGGAATGATCCATTATTTGCTATTGAAATTATTAAAAGCATGTAGTAAATTAGAGACTAGTTGGGCAGCAAATGATGTGGATAATAATTTGTTATATCAAGTATGTGATGATATAGAAAGAATCACCCAGCAACAAGATATAAAGGACTTTTAAGAGTATGGCCTCAATGTGTATCCATTTAGCTCTAAATATCTCTAGTTTCACATTCTTTAAGACTGAATAGTCCTCCATTTTATTTAAAAAAACATTTTTTATCCAGTCACCAGCTGATGAGCATTTGGGCTGTTTCCAAGACTTAGCTATCACAAATTGTGCCTCTATAAACATGGGTATACATATACACACATACAAATACTGAAAAGTTTCTTTTGTGTGAGAAATTGAAAGTGTCAATGAGGGTCAAAATGTATAATAGATAATGTGAATTAGGAAGCAAAGGCCCACAGGAGAAGGGAGAGGGAAAAGGGAGGGGGAGAACGAAAGAAGGAAAAGGAAAAAATATGAGAAAATGAAAAATGCAAACAACATCTTTGTAAATAGAGAGGAGTGGAGGGATTGAAGGGAGATCAGGGGAATGGGAAAAATATGAAAACCAATATATGTCTTGTAAAGGCATGAATTTCCAATAATGAATGTCATCATACTGTATACCTGAAGTGTACCAATAAATTTCAGTCAAAAATTTTAAAAAGACATTAATGACAGCAAGAGTACTCTTGAGATCAATAATTATTCCAAGTATGGAGCTGAAAACACGTCTACAACATCCAAAAGAGCAAGTCACTTGGCACAATCAAAGCATTTGAATCTGGCAGCATTTCAGTGCAGACATCTTTCTTGACAAATAACTCACAAATTATTGAACCAATGAAAATGGAGAAACAAGAAATGTATGAAAATTCTCCACATATTAGGCTTCAACAACAAATTTGCCTATGTACCTAAGAACTCAAATTGTGAGATCAGTAATGTGCATGTGTCTTGGAATAATTCTGATGTTCCAATACTTGTGACTCATTCTAAATCATTTCTTTCAGGAAACTCAAATCATACCAGCACAGACATTGTTATTAGTGAGGAATCAAGTACTCAACAACTATCCTCTACAATCATAATAGAAGAAACTCAAAGTGACCTTAACAAAAAAGGGTAAATCTTCAAAGTATGCATTTACAAAGCTGAAAAATTCTCAGATTTTTTTCTCAGTTTGACAAAAACTGTATAACAGGACATATGTCTGCTACCAAAATTGCAGAGTTTCAAGAAAAATAAAACTGTCAACACATGGGAGGCTGACTGACAACAATCTTGAAACTTCCTGAATCTTCAAAAAGGAAGAAGAAAGAAAAGAAAAAAAGACAGTATTTTCCTGAAGAAATTCAAAGGAAAATACAAGAAGTATTGGTTCAAAGAATGGCCCAAGCTCAGGCACCATCTGTAAATTCAACTCACATTCAATTTTTTAATAAAGTATTAGCTGTTAGACAAAAACTGTTGATTAACTATCTAGGATAAGAAGCTTTTTTTTTAATTTCTCTGTGAGAAATGATGCTAATTTATAAGGCATGGGCTTCTGCTTTATTATTTAATAAATCAATGTTTATAATGATAAATGAAACCTTGAAAATATATGTGAAAGTAATTAGAAGTTATAGAAATTCAAGAACATTAGGAATTGGGTAATAAAATTATACAGAGGAAAAAATAATCATTAAAGATTCATAACATTAGAACCACAGAAGAGGAGAGTTACTAATTATAGACACAAATGAGAAAATGGAGACACAGGTGAACAGAGAAGAGGACCAATTGTGGGTTCTCATTATAATTTTCTTGACAATCAGAACCATTGAAATATGGACTGAATTACACAGAAGAACAACAGCTTCAAATTAAAGAATTCCGATTAGAACAGGCTCTTAAAATTCCATGAATATTTTTTGAAGGAATATATAGATGAATGAATAAGTGGCTGAGTGATAAGGTTTTATGTAGGAAAGCAAATATAAACATTTATATAATTTGGAATAAGTAGGCACAGAGTATATTTTAAATTCTAATCTGAGTGTATTCTAGAATTGAACTACCTTTAAATACTATCTTACTTAGTACTTCCATTAAATAATACTATTACCTGAACAATTTCATCAGAGTGTGTTTCTCACTTGTAAAAATAAGAGTATCTGTTTTCAAGAGTTGTTAGAAAAGTAAATGATATAAATATGTTATTGTCTTCTAAATACAGGGAATTTTCTGGATGTATTCATGGATTTCAGCTTATACATATACTTCTGTATAAGATGTATTATAGCAATGTGTTGTGGATTGAGAGACCTTTTGTAAGGGAAACATACAGGTAGATTCTGGAATAACCCATATGCATGTTTCATTATACTGTATCTTCCCAGAAGAGGTCAAACAGAAGGCATAGTTCTAAGCAACCAAAAGATAACACGTGCTTATCATATTTCTTCTCAGGGAAGTTATTCAGAGACTTGGTATCTAGAAGTTTTTGGGGGAATGTTCAGTTGTTATTATATACCTAGAACATATCAAAATTCAAAATTCCCAGAGGAAAAATGGATTTCCCAGAGGAAAAAAAGACCTGTTTGCCTAGTGTTGGCACAGTGGGCATTCCTTTCAGTTAGATAGTGGTAAGAACATTCCTGAAACCCAGGTTTACACAAGGCATACTATGGCCAACTTTGCTAACAGATATTTATGAATAAATTTTAGGTCTGCTCTGTTAATTCTTTTCTGAGTAATATAAAGGAAGCTCTCAGAACTTTGAAATGCATAATCATGTAGCAAGGATAAGTCTTTCTGCCTACCTGATTTCTCATTCATGTTTAAGTCACTCAGAACCACAGGTCAGCCAGCCCGTATGGCTTTCACCCTCTTTACAGATACATTAGTACAGCTTAGTACTTGACACTCTAGAATGCCAGTATTATTGGCTCTGTTGACACCTTAATGATTTTATCTCAGGTCTTTGTATCATTAGACCCACAACAAAATCTCTGATTTGATTTCTATGCCCTAACTTCAAGGACAGCTATCAATAGAGGTAGCAGAATTTTCATATTTTTATGAAGTGAGGTAAACAGAGTTTATCTATAAGACTAATGAGGTAGGGATTCTGCAGCAAATACAGGCAAATAACCCTTACTTGCAATGTGTACACACAAACATGTATACATTGCAGTAAATTCCTGACCTTAAACAATATTTTTTTAAACATTGAAAAGTCTGTATTACTTGAACTTAAGAGGTGAAAATTCTAATTAAAGTTGGCATGCATTTTTTTGGCATGTATTTTCATATGAAATTTTTATGTATCTTGGACTTGCCTTACAATTTACTTGAAAGACCTATACGTCCTAGATAAATTAAAAATTCTGTCACAGCTTCTAAATTATACCACTTCCAGTTCAGAAGTCCTGTGTAAGTCTTTCTGGACTTCTCCAATTATAAAAAAATAAGATGGTACATTTTCACATTTGGATTCTTAAGATCTTATATTCATAGCTTTGAGTGTCTGGAAGCTTTTATGACCACAGGAGAGTGAATGTTTCCAATCTCTTTTAACTTGTTGATCTTTCCATGTCTTTGTAGGGAAAAGATGTCCACTTCCTTGTGAGATATCAACCGTCTCCTACAAGCTACTTAAATTTCTACACAGTATCCCATTACAGTTTCCTCCTTCCAGGTCAGATCCCTGTGGTTGAATTGCCCTTAGACTTTGAGTTTCTTAGACTTATGTTTCCACAACCAATGAGAGATGACTCTCCAGTTTAGTGATTCCAATAGTTGGTTGGGCCAATCCTGACAAGCTCCCTGCCCTAGGTTCAACTGATTAGTAATTTTAATTGCATAGGCAAATATTCTTTGCCATGTCACTTACACTCACTAAAGTAACATTAGGTGCACATACTTACAGGCATCATCTTATAGTTCTGCCAAGCAGGATAGTCAATTTTTTAGCATACCTGCATCTCTAAATAGGAATATTCACATTAAATATTCATGGGGATTTAGGTTTGCTTTAAAAACTATAATCTTGATTAATCAATCTTTCTTGTAAAAGTACCCTCAGATTTTCTCCCTGTATTTCTGAATTATATTATGACAAAAAAATAAATGTAGCAAGGAGTTATTCACTAGAAATAATAGAAAAGTAGCATCATGCTAAGCATTGATATGACCACGTCCAAATTCAACCTAAGCCTAGAATCGAAAATCCAAAATAAGGGGAGGAAGAGGTGAAGGGAGGGCAGGGACAAGGGGAAAAATGAGAAGCAAGACCTGTCATGTAAAGGTACAAGATCTCAATAATGAATGTAACTGTACTGTATACCTAAAATGTACCAATAAACTCAATGAGGAAAAAACAACAACAACAACAAAAAAACAAAAAACAAAATTGGCTTATAAAAAACCCCATAAAAATAGATGAATCCATCATAAAATGAGATCAAATGCATCTATTCAAATGATTAAATAACTTAAATTATGATTATTTTAAATCCATTTAAAGTGATGTATAAAATGTATATGCATAATCATATTTTCAAGTCAATATTTGTAAGCTTTTTAATATAGCATCAAGACAAAAATATCTTTTAGTAAAATGTCTTCAAGAAAAGTCTTAGTAGGAGAAAATGGTATCAATTGCTCAGGTGAGAATTGGTTAAAGCACTTGAAGGATGTAAATATTCAAGACAATCTTATATTCTCAGAATAGAAAATAATGAAGACAAATGAGTAAATCTGTATCTATTGTACTTTCAGGAAGCATTTTTTAGATGTTGAGATATATTAGAATGTTCAGGTTTTTTTCTCAAAGGAAATAACAAAAAACACTTCTTAATTCACTTAAAGTAAAATATGATATATATATGAGAGAATAGTTCTTTAATACACAGTCAACTCTCACATCTACAAAAGAAATATCTGCATTGAAACCGATCAAACCTATCAAAGACAATTATAATTTTCAGAATTTAATTGATGTTATTCTTGCTCAGCTTTTTGTAGATCATCACTATTTGTTTATTTGTTCAAAAAAAGCTGATGAATATTTCGTTTAAAACAGTCTATTAGTATAACTTCCCTTTTCTTTGTCAATAGTAATATGGGTAAAAGAGTAAATGCAATTTTCTTTTAAATTCATTTAAAAATTATGTTGTCCATCAAAAATAATTTCTCACATGTTGGTTTCTATATAATTTTGTCTAGTGAAAAGAATCAGAACTCTTAGAGAAATCCCTCATTCAAGACCGGGGGTGGGGGATAAAGAACTAGAGTAGAACAACATTTTGTCCCAGTAAATAAGGAATACAAAATGTATGTGGGCATATGTTTAAAGAACATGAGTAAAACTTAAAGTAGTAAAACATAAATCTGGGCATAAGAAAATATCCTTAGAATAAAAGCTTTGATGTTGTTAGAGAAAAAAATTATCTATTTTTCAACCACTGCAGTAACAATGGATACATTCAAGAGTCACTGAGGAGTGCTGGTGTTAGTGTTTAGAAGTTTGATGATAAGTGGGATTGTCCTGTAGTTGCAAAACATCTCCATATGAAATATTAACTAGAAATGTGAAGGGAAAGTGAAATACAAGATCTTAATCTTAAGATTATGCTGGCATCCCCTACAATGAAGAATTGTATCTTGTGACTCCCAAGGTGGTGAATTTATAGAACTATGGATCATGTTCATGTTATTCATAGTAACAGTGCATATTCAAATATAATTACGGAGAAATATCAGACAATACCAAAATAAGGTACCTCGTACAAATTGATTGGCATGAAATTTAAAAAAGTATATAATTAAAGAAACAAAAAGCTGAAGAAATATTCCAGATATAATGGTACTAACATGATGTAAGAACTAAATACAATGCAAAATATATATATATATATACACATATATATATATATATGCATGTATATGTGTGTGTGTGTGTGTCACACATATAGATAGGTGAACAGAGACAGAGGTAGAAACAGAAAGATTTATTACAGCTTTTCTAGAAGTTTGATATTCCCAAACTGAAAAAAATTAAATTCAAAC